ATAAACCTTAGCAAGGAAAACAAATCCGTAAGCTCAACAGCAAATTCTGAGACAAAGACAGGATGTAAATTCCTGCTCGGTACTTGTTTCCGATGAGCTAAATCAGATTGCTGCTAACGGAATTTCCTTCGGAGAAGATATGGGAAAGTGTGCAATTACTTCGAACACTTCAGTTTAAAGTGGTACTGACCACAAGTGGTACTCTGTACATTATGAAATATTTGCCTGAAATTCAGTATAAGTCAAAAGCCAAACTCTCAGTCCATACTTGTTCCTCACGAGTCTGCTAGCAGTCAGGTGCTCAGGAGAATTTAGAGTAGTCCTTTAACTTTGAAAGCATATTCAGAGACATATATTTTTCACATCCTTCCTTAAGCATTCCAAGTTATTTGAGCTGGACTAATTCCAGGTAATTCACCTCCAATGCTGCTTGAGGACTAGAAAATCTGTCCCCCTGTGAACTTAGCTGAAAAATCAGAAAGGCTAATTTCAGCTGTGTCAAAATGCTTTGCCTTGATGCTCCTAATGTTTTTTCTCTTTCCTTTTTTTTTTTTCATTTGTCTAAAGACATTCAGCAATGTCAACCCAGAGTGTTCACTGCTTTTATAAATCAGCTATTTGACCAAAAAAAAGTCCACTTCTAGTTATGAATAATACCTTTGCAGTGGAGTGTATACCATCTCATCATTTCTCCCATTGGTTGTGTAGATCCTCAAGTAGATGTTGAACAGAAGTAAAGCAGAAAACACCCGCTTGTGATGCAGAAAGTGTGGTGCTGCATCCATTATGCTGGTATTACTGTCTCCTTCACATATAAGGTTGAGGGGGGGAAGGCTAATTTAGAGTTGGCTTGTGGTACACTTGGTTTTAGTTAGCAGATGACTATGTCACATTCTTTAATATTTTTGTCTCTATTAAGAAGGCTTCTTACCATTATAGAAATGTCTCTTTGGCTATATGATGAAACATGATAGCAGAGTTCTACTGGAGGGTTGTTTGTAAAGCCACAGATCTATTTTTCTTCATCTTGCCTTTTGCTACATCCTCTCCACAGTGCTTTGCATAGAATGCTCAATTTCCTTTAAAAAAGTGTGATACAATGACAGCTGTATGGAAGAAAAGTGCTAAGAGCATAGATGTAAATTAAATGTTAATCACACAAAAATGATTACAATTTGATAATATACAAAATGAATCTGTCTCCCTTGAAATTAAGTGAAAATTATTTAAAATCTCAATACGCAATCACAATCAAAACAACTTTATAGTAAGATATTTTAATTTAAATTGCCTAAATGGAATGCTTTAGTGTATTCGATTGGCAGATAGGCATAGTCCCAGTACTTGTATAATAAGCTGCTTTAGTTAGATAGCAATTAACTTTTAAATTTAGTAAGTATTACAAATTGCCAATTGCTTTCTGCAAAAAAAGTGTCTAGAGAGGAGATCAGGTACTTTTGGCTGAATGTAAGAAAAATGCACTAGTATTAACTAATCCTGGAAGGTTTTCTATATTCAAAGTGTGATAAAGCTAACGCTTTTAAATATTAGTGATAGTCTATTGCTCCCTATTACTTTTATAATAGAACTTAAACCCCATGCTGAACTGTGGATAAATTTTAGATATATGTCAGTTTGAATTAGTTTTCTGCAAGCGGCTATATAAGTAGAAAATTGGGTCCCAAAAGCAAAGACATATGATTAAAATATACTCACTGAGCTGTTGAACAGAGATTTTTTAGAAGCAGCTTGAGAGCATTAGAAAAGCGCCATCCACTTTCTGGGACATCCATGTTCCTAATCCCTTTTGAAAATCTTGGCTTTGGCTCTGGGTTCCTGAGAGAGGGCCAGGATGTGCCCCAGCTGGGAGATGGAGAGACTTATACTAGAAGATCGTCTCACAGGGATTTTAAAGATAGCAAAGAGTTTCCCAAAAACCTCAATGGGCTTCTTTCCTGACATGCTCCAAGTCTGTTCTGCACTCACAGGACCTGAGACTGTACATCCTGAGCCTTAGTTGGTAGCATGTGAAAGGGAATAATCCATTATCTAAAAATAGTCTCAAAATGGCTATTAGATGCTCAGGGGTAGGGACAGAGAGAGCATGACTTAATTTCCTTAGAAAGCCAAGCAAAAAATCTAGAGTGTTGACCAATATGAACACTTTCAAAATCAAGATTTCTTTGCCATGTGCTGTGACTTGTAGGTCTGTTAGCAGCAAGATGTGAAGACCATAAGCTTAAGAAGATTGGCTTCCTTCTTTTTGTACCTGCCTAGTTGCTCAAAATACTGAGTTTCTATCTTCCCACCTTACAATTAGCATTCCAGCACATGTGAAAGTTGGCCGCCTGGTGAAAGTCTTATTTATGTAAACACTCATTATTCTGATAAGCAGTGGAATAAGTATTCTCACTTATGTAAGACTGCTAAGCTGGCAAGCTGGAAGCATTTTACATACATTAGCGCTTCATATCTAAGGAGTGGAAAAGAGTAGTTAGTCGGAGAGTTATAACAAGCAGGCCAATAACAGAAAAGAGCTGGGGGAGCCTATGCAGCAAAGGGAGAAGGCAAAGGCAGCAGGCAGGCCGGGGGATGACTAACTGGAGCAGAGAGAAAGGAGGACCAGAAAAAGAGCAGCTGGCACGCAGTCAGCAGTGTAAACTATGCTGCAGGGCAGAGTGCTGTATGTAGGTAGGTCATATACAATAAGGGAAAGCCACATACATAAAGAGGACGGATGAGAAAAGACCCAGCCTCCAGTATTCACATGGTGTGGCTAAGAGCTTGTTTCAGTTCCACAAGGAATCTCAGCAATGTAAAGTACAATATCAGGCATTTTGCTCCTTTCTTTCTCTCTGTATCTTGAATATTTATGCAAGCTCCTGAATAGAGTGCAAACAAAACACTGGATGGTTAGCATATTTTTGGAGTAAACATTTCTTTTTGAAGCAGAGGACAAAGGTCAGTGCTGCCCATGGAAGAAGACTGATGGGGAAAAATGCTTTTTTTTTTTTTATGTCTATATAATTAATTACACATAAAGTATTACAAAAGGTGGGTTGCAAGCAAGATAAAAGCATGTTAATCTCACTAGTTTCTTTTTTCAAGTTTATCAAAATTTCGAACAGAAACTGTTGGGATAATGAGGGAGAGGAGAGGGGAAAAAGGCAAAAAGAAATATCTATTTGAGAGCGTGCTGTTTCAACTCCTAATTTTTCTTGCATGAGGGAAACATCTCCTTTCTGTTTCACTGGGGGACAACTGGGTAATTTGTCCTATGAAAGCATAATTTTCATATTTTCAAGAGGAAAAGACATGTCTATGCCAAAAGGCTGAAAATGGGCTTATTGTCTTGTGTAAGTAACTTTCAAAAACAGTATTTTTTTTGTTTTTTGTATCATTTGAAGTTGCATGTAAATTCACTTGCATATAAGAGTGAAGTCAGGATCCATGTGAGCACATCCATCCAAATGGAGGCACAAAAGCAGAAGCCTGATAATTATGAATGGATGTTGGCTATCTTCATGCTTTTTGAACAAAGTATATGTTCAAGTGTCCTTTTGGGACACAATTCTGCGGTTTAGTTGGGCCAGGTTCTGTGGAGGAGCCGTTGGAAAAATAGATCATATAATACCAATTTTCAGACATTTCAGGTTAAATTATTTTTTCCATTTAGGTCCTAATGCCACCTGTTTTTAATGATATGTTTCTACATTATAAAAATAGGTGATACTTGTGTCACAAGTGCAGCAGGTCTGAATTCTTGCTGAGTGTCATTCAGAGCAGTAGTAACTTCAAGAAAGAAAATAGAGGTGTTTCTAGTGTGCTTCTAAAGCTCACAAATGGGAGTATACACAGTCACTTAAGAAAGGATTCGGCTTCTCCCTCTTTTGGAGATAACTACTCTAATTGCTTAAGATCAAAAACAAAAGAAGATTCCTGTACATTCAGGATGATTCTCCTTCTGGGCTTCTTTAACTCCTTTACCCTATAATAAAAAAAAACTTACACAAAGTAGGGGAAAAAAATATCCTTTGATGGCAGATCTATGTTGCTTTTTACGTTTGCCCTGTGAGCTACAGTGTACTATGCCATCAGTGATCTCACCGGCAGTATCATGGCTTTGTTCCTCCTGATGGCTCTGTAACTCAACTTCTTGGTGAAGGCGCACTTTAGCATCAGTTATGTTCATAGCAGGACAAAAAGAGAAGCATTACAAAAATCTTTCAGCACATCTCATGCTACTCCTCTCTACCTTCACCTATGCAAATTAGAAACGCTGTGTGCTGCTGCTTGCTGATCAGATGTATGCTCACTTTGTTTAGTGATGACTGCCCTTCCCCAAGCCAGTCCTCAGTACCCTTTCAGCTGGTAATGGGAATGCTGTAGTAATAGATGGGTAACTGCAGTAGTTTTATAAACATGCTGTGCAAACAAGTGAGATGATAGGAAATGTAGCCCAACTGAGGTCCTGCCTAGTGAAAGGAAACTCGCTTGCTTGCTTGCCTTCATTCTTTCGGAGTACGGAGATTCAATCAGACAAGCTGTTGAGTTAAAGGTCAAAATGGAATTCTTTCCCACCCTTTTTCATTTTTCCAAGCCAAACATTTTATTGGCTGTAGTACAGCGGGGGCGGGGAGGGGGGAACATATATCCTGACTAGACTAATGTTATCCCTGTTATTTTTAAATAACTGTAAAACCTTCCTATCGTTTTTAGCTTTACATTTTTCAAAATAGCCAAATTAAATCACATCTCTTAATTTTTTCTGAATTTACACTGATTATGTGACAGAGGGAGCAAGGACTGACTCGTCTTCTAAGAGGAATAAGACGAATTTTGCACTGGCTTACACACCTTGCAATTCCATTGAAACTAATGTATGTACACATGTGGAGGACACAAGCGAGTGAATCACTGACCACTTTCTTTGAATAAATACATGCATACACTCATGCACTTTTAATCCTTTGAAGTCTTTATTTCAAGGCCTTGCTTAATTTCATGTTACAGCAGGTTTATCCTATTTCAGTGTATTTATCATCATCTCACCCCAGCCTGCAAAAAATGAGCAGGATCAGTAACACCAACAGATGGAGTCTGCCTAGGTGCTGGAGATGAGAGGTCAGAATCCACGAACAACAAGTTATTCCTGATCAATGAAAACTGCTGCTGCTGCTGCTTCCTTTTTTCTGTGAAAGGCTACAAGGCTTTCGTAGCTGTGCGCACAGGCTGGTAGAGTTGGAGGCCACCTGCTCAGTAAATGATAAGGAGAAGAAAATGAATTTAACAGTGACAGCTCATTAATCTATTACCTGGCAGCCATTACACTGAAGCCTGATCACAATTTACAAAAGCTCACATATGGTTGCCTGAAGTCTTATTTAGTAATATCTGTGTAATCTATGAATGAATCAAACCCTGAGTCCTATATAATAATCATAATAGGATTTGCTAGAAGATATTAGCTCTCTCCTTCTGCTAACTCAAGGAAAGGATTTTTGATTGTTCTTTCCAACATGGTAATTATTATTAAATTTGATGTGGTAGAAAGTAATACTTTTTCCTGTTCTAACAATTGAAAGCTATAATATGGTTGAAATGGGCAATCCCTTGATATTTACAGATTGCATTTAATTGCAAGCAGTATAACTACAGGGGGGAGCTAAACATAATTTTGATCTGTTTTTATATTGTTTGTATCGTTAACTACAAGATGAGATGTGTGCATATAATTATGCATGTATATTATACCTATATGTATAATTTACCTATAAGCACCTACAATTATTTTACGTTATGATATTTACTTTCATCAAAACTTTTTCCCTTGAATTCTAAGGCACTTACCACATTGGGCTGCATCTGTAAGTCATAAGAACAGAGAATAAGTACTACTCAGCTCAAGGAAGGGTAAAAGATTCAGATCCTTGCTTTTGACCAAATCATTATGTAGGCAAAATTCCTGGAAATGACAGGTGGTGGGAACAGCCTTGCCAGTGGACCCTAGCTTCTTTGTCCATGCTCCCAGATGGTGGTCACAGTGCAGTTCTAGTCTGGAAGCAGTACAGCTGTTAAGACAACATGTAGCTAATAAGCCCTGCCTCTTCCCAGGATGGGCTAGTTTGGACTCAGTGCCACCATAAGGTTAGTGGTCGGACAGGAACAGTCAACCTGTGCCTCTTTGGCTGCCTGTGACTCTTGAGCCATCAAAGTGTATCCCCCACGGCAGAGCTGTGTCACCTCACCACCCAAGGGGCTATGTTAGCACAGAACCTCTTGAGTCATGTGAATCTCTGGGCATTAAAGGCGGCGTTGTTGCATTGCCTTGGCACCCAGTATTGATAGAGCAGAGGAACACCTTGAGGCCAGCATCGCCTCTCGTCTTCCCCACAGCAGGCGTGTGGCTTCTTTCTATGGGTGCTTGGTTATACTGACCTTTGGCAGAGCCAGGAGAGAAGCCCATTCCCACTGATGGCATGCTTGGTTTTGGATTCGGAAGTACCCTTCTCTCTTCACCCTCTGTATGGCAGGGTCAGGTGCAGAAGACAGGCTTTTAGATGCCACATGAGGGATTCCTCAAGTTGTCAAAACCTCTGTGAGAAGCTGAGTCTGAGCCATCTACTTCGCCTTGAGCCACTGCTTTCAGTGCAGGGGTCCTGGTTGTTCTGATGCTAAAGTATCTGCTCTAGGAAATTGCCAGTATCTTTGTATTCCAAGTATTCTGCCAGGTTACGTTGCTTCTATGAATCATCTGCTTTCAGAGATCCACAATTTTATAACTGTACATGTCTTGTAAAGAAAGGCAGAAAGATAGGTGACATATATTGGAATAAAATACATTAGGTTTGAGGCCTGCGTAAGTAAAACCTGTATTTTGGATAAATACTTAGAAAATACATTAATTTCAATACAGTTCATGACAACCAGACTCCTTTGGGGGTCACAAAATGGGTGTAAATAAACAAAGGGATTTTTTTTTTTGCCTTTGTATCTGAACAATCTAAAGTGCTGCTATGGTTGAAAATCTGAGTCACAAAGACTTCTTACCTCTGCAAACACCATAAAGAGCAGGTCAGATTGACCCAGTGCAATTCAGTATTGTGAGGGGTTTTGAAAAGGAAAATGTACAATTACCAGATACCTGGAGCTCATTTTGCATTGCTAAGTTGTTATGTCTCTGTTTCTGCTGCTTATTGCTTATTATTCTGCTGCTGTGTGAGAATAACAGTTTTGTTTCACAAGTACTTACATGCAAAGTGCCTTTAAAACCTTCTCTGCTCTTCATCTCAGTACCAAAACTGAGAACAATGTTTACCTTTTTACAAATCATCGAAATAGGGAATCAATCCCCCACCCCAATTTCCCCATGTGACGTTCAGTATGAGAGGCTACAGAGCTCTAGCAGTCAAAGATTACTTAGGCGAATCCTCCTTTTTTATTTGGTTGTGTACCAGCAGTTGGCACTTGTCTTACGTGGCTGGCAGAGGTTTTTGACGCCATGTGGCCAGCAAGCAGGGAAATAGACGCTTGTACTGTGTAACCAATAGCTGGCACCATTCTCTAGCACCAGTAAAAGTGACCCTTCAAAGTGACTTCTACCTATGCCTGCTTTTTGCAATGGCTTGTCTTCTCTCATCCTTTCCCTGGACTATATGCTGACTGGCAAAACGTAGACACCAGGAACCAGGGGAAAGAGAAGCAGAATCTTTTCTTCCATCTAATTGCATGGAGGAATGACTCAGACTGGACTGTGGGTCTGAGCTAATCACCTACTATGGGACCATGGAGGAATTTTCACATCATCATCCATAACTGGTAGAGGCTTGGGTGGCTCTCCATGCCCCCCTCCTCTTTTCTTTAAAGCAGCAGGCAGGAGCAATCATGTGAATAGATGCTGGATCTAGAAATGTAATATTCAGTAACTTTATGGAATATATAGTTATTTCACCTTCTGGCCAGGGGCCACCATAAAACAACTTCCAGCAGCAAAGGGCAAATGAAATTTCACCGATTAAATTTGTGATTTAGGGAAAAAGAGAAAGCAGGTATTCTCAACGCAGTACCTCCTCTGTGCTACCCTATGGCCCCCTTGTGAAGTATGCACCAAGACCCTTCCTGGTAGGGGATCCTTTAATCCTCACAATGGACGTTTTAAAAACTGCAATCTTAGTGCTTAATTCCAGCTAGAATGCATGAACATATGATTTTCATTTGAAAATATTGCTTGAGAGAAGCAAGGGAGGAAAAGTATAAAACAAAATATAAACTTGCAGGGAGGCCTCACTGAAACTGTCAAATCTTCTACTACAATATTCACGTCAATCAATGTATTTTCTTTTCAGTTTCACATAGTCCCGTTAAGTAATGTGTAGTCAACAAAAAAATCGTTTCAACACTGGGGACTTTTCCTGTAATTATCCAAATCCTATTAATAATGCCTAGGGAACAGGTTCACTGTTGGGTTTTAGCACTGTAATATATGCGCACACTTGAGGCATACATTTGAAACTTGCCTATCTCTAGCTCTTGTATTTCTCAAGGTACAGCTTGATGAAGTAGGGAAGGCTGGTTAGCTACTTAACGTTCAACAGTCTGTCTACTATATCTCTCTGGCTAATTTGACAATACTGTATTGAATAACTGAGTATTAACAGACTTCTCTCCCAGTGTTACTCTTTGGATAGTGTCCAAACCCACATGACCTAAGATTTCAAGGAGCTAAAGTGTGGTTATAACCATACAGTCCACTTGCACAGCTAAAGCTTAAAAAAATGCTAGCCGAAGTAACATAAATTATTAATTTCACTGATGTTATTTCTACTAATGAAACTGGTCTCAAAAGTAGCTAAGGCAATGTCTAGCTTATCTATGTTTTTTTCCATTCACCCCCTTCCTCTTTATTCCTGAATCTGATATTTTCTGCTGCACTGATGATCTCAGAGTCACGCGATAAAGATACCTCTAAGGAGTTGCAATAATATTCTTGTTAATTACTTTTCTCGTGAATTTTCTCCCCCTTTGTTTCATTGCCATTCATAGAAAGGCTGAAGCTGAAAGGATAAAAGGTCAAGAAAAAGGAAGCACTGCTTGGAGAGATGATTTTACAATAGCCCAAGTGTATGGAAAGAACAGGGGAGTAGTTCATAACAGGGTTTCTGTCCCTGTGAAGCTTATATAGAGAGCTGTTTTGCAGCTCAGTGTGCCTATATGCACCTGCACACCTGCTAAAGCATATTGTGTGTGTGTATGTATGGTATATATATTTTATGCACGCGCGCGCGCACACACACACACACATTTGATATATATATATTTTTTCCTAGTCTTACTTACGTTCTGGCTTTGACATCGTCTGTCAGCAAAACACAGGATGGAGACCAGAGGAAGAATAATGAAGCTGTTACGTTGATTTCTAGTCTAAATCCTTGGCTTGCAGTTGTTTTTGTGAGAGCTCTATGAAAACAATGGAAGGAATTGTAGATGCACTACAAGAGCTGATTTTTAGTTTGTTTTCTCTAAGCTGCTGTATACGTACTGCAGAAATCCTCGGTACTTGGGATGCGCCTATTAGTACTGAAGCTGAAGTTTAAATCTAGAAAAGCTTTTCATTTTAGGGGAAAAAAAAAGTACTATGTCTAGCTTAGTGGCTAGCATGAAGGGATACAATGGGTAGTGGTGCATATGCCTTAATTAAAACAGCTAGTTCCCTATTTGAAATCACTGCTGTATATCTCAGTAATATCAATAGTACAGCTGTGCAGGCAGAGAATTTGGAAATCCTTAATATTGTTCCACATTCTTGCAACAACTGCAGGTAACAAGGATCGTATTTTCAGAGCTTTCCACATAAAAATCAGTATATTTCCTATATTCTGTTGTAAAAAGCTGCTTCCAGTGTCAGTATAGATGCAAATCATGTGCTTGAGGTAAAAATGGCATTTTTAAATTTGGCGTTCATTAAAATGTTTGTCAACTAGTCTCACGAGCTATGCCTGATGTTTCTAAAAATGATTGTTAAAATCACAGTCACATTGAAATCGATGCTGGAGCCTCCATTGACTCCAGTGGGGCCAGGATATCATTCCTCAACTTAGGCATCTTCAGCCAGATGCAGTTCTGTGAGTTGTTATGGCAGTCACAGTGCATTTTCAAATGTTGTATCTGAAGGATGCTCTGTCCATACAGCAGTCACGAGATACCTCTGAAACCTTTGAACACCAATGTGGAAATGTCCTGTGTTGCTACACAGATGCTTCCCTTATTTGAGAATAACAGCAGTGAGATGAAGCAACTTAGTAAAGGGAAGTGAAAATGAATATGCACATCCTTTACACGACTTTTAAAGAATCACAGAATAGCTGGTGTTGGAAGGGACCCCTGAAGATCATCTGGTCCAGCTTCCTGCTCAGGGTAGGTCAGTTAGAGCAGGATGCCCAGGACCGTGTTCTGTTGGGTTTTGAATATCTCCAAGGATGGAGACTCCACAGGCTCTCTGGGCAACCTGCTCCAGTGCTCAATTACCCTCACAACAGTGTTCAACACAACATTCAAATGTTCTGGTGTTCAAGTGGAATTTCCTGTGTTTCAGTTTGTGCCCGTTGCCTCTCATCCTGTCACCGGGCACCACTTAGAAAAGTCTAGCTCTGTTCTCTTGACACCATCTCATCAAGTGTTTATAAAGGTTGTAAAGATCTCCCGAGCTTCCTCTTCCCCAGGCTGAACAGTCCCAGCTCTCTCAGCTTGTCCTCATATCACAGATGCTCCAAACCGCTAGTCATCTTTGTGGCCCTCTGCTGGAGTCACTCCACTATGCCCATGTCTTTCTTGTACTGAGGAGCCCAGAATTGAACACAGCACTCCTGATGCAGCCTTACCAGTGCTGAGGAAAGGGAAGAAGACTAAAACTGTTCATTGTGCATGACAGTTGATGTTGTTTCCTCCAACTCTTAACCTAGTTATCTGTACTTGTACCTCTCATCTTTGCATTTTAGTTTAACCTAGTTGCTTCAGACCTTTTTTTTCTCAAGTTTTCTAATTAAAAAGAAATTTTGAAGCAGTTGACAGTGTCAAACATAATTAATGCACTGTGATTCCTGTATCATAGGTACCAGACAGAACCCATAGAGTTACATGCTGTTGACTGAATATGCTGACCAGATTTAAGCACACTAATTTCAGTCCTGAATATCTAAATTGCTTAAGGTGTACTGGATTATTTTCGTGTTCAAAGTATACACTCTAGACCAGAAAACTGGTTAGTTCTCATTTGGCTCTCTTGTGATATTTCCAAGGGATATTTGTGGCACATACGATATGAGGCATGCGTGTATGACACACTGTACTTGATGTAAACGTGCAAGGCAAACACTTCAAAGTGAAAGCTCTGTCAGAACCCTGATAAATCATGTCTGCCTGCTAAAGAGCAGGATATATGACTGAATGTCAGGGACCTTCACTGGAAACAATATCACAATACACTGTCAGATTTCCTGTTGAAATCAGGAATCAAATGGAATGAATGCAGGGTGTTTTTCATAGGCTTCCTTGCCATTCTATGTAATTATGAGTTTCAAAGAGGGGAAAAAGGTGCAGATGAAATATCAGAGGAGTTTAAATTCTGAATCTTGTAGGACTTCTAACTCTCTCCTTTTCCTTTTCACCTTCTTTCACATTCTATTTTCTGTACATGACTGTTCTCCTGTCTATGACCCAAACTACGAGTGGTCATTTTAGGAATTTAGTACAGTTTCAAGGTAACTTCCTGACATGATTCCCTGGCTTTACAGCCAGTTTTTAGCTCGTCATATGAACTATTACTGTCAAGTGTCTGACAACCTTGCAGTACAGTGTCAGCTTTTCCTAAAGTTGAAGGCTATAGAGAATTCATTGCAAGCTTCTGAATATAGCTGAGGAACGCTCCCATGCAAAGGTCTGCAACTAATTTGGTGGCTTTGGAAACAACACAGATTTGCACTCAAGCACACATGTGAAAAGGTGCACATTACAAAAGATGTGGCCCTTTTAATTTGTCTAGCCAGAGGCACAGGATGGTTCTCATATTACGAACAGTGCATTTCTAAGTCACCCTCCCAACTGGCAATTATTAAATGCATTTACATGTAAACAAATTTTTTTTTCTTTCTTTCATTATAACATTTCTGAACATCTGTTCCAACGGGATCAAATGCTCTGGTGATGTACTCCATAGAAATGCCTATAAATATAAACAAACAAATCCCTCAGTGAAGTCATAATGTAGCTATTATGTAGCATATCTTGAAAGATTTGATAGAATTATAACATTGCTGCAAAACAGCACAGACCTAGGTTTGTGGGGTAGAAAGATCTAATTTAAAATGAAACAACTTAAGCCAAATGACAGGATGTTATTGAAGAAAAAAATAAATGCATTTTAAACCTTACACAAATACATTCCTGATCTAAAGATATGTCCTTGTCTAAAATCTCTCTAAGCCTAATGTCTCTAGGGAAAGTTTCTCTGAGAAAGAGGAAAGAAGTGTCTAGATATGTTAGTCAATCTGCAGAGAATGAGTAGTTTATACTAGCAAAAGGGTTTTATCTTGGCCCTTTCATCTCCTTGTTATCCTGTAGTTACATGGCATTTTCATTACAGCCTTGGTTTGATACTATAAAGTACACCTGCAGTGAGGGCAGAGTAATAAAGCCCATAAAATAGGACTCATGTCTAAAGGAACTTTTTCTATGAGCAGCTGATGAAAGAGGTTCTACAGAGTGGTTGCCAGAGATAGTCTGGGATAGTTGGGATTCAACTTGGTGACCAGGAGGTCCCTGCTAGTCCTATATTCCTATGTTATGCACATTAGTGATGAATGGGGCAAAGAGGGGACAAATGAATTTACAGTAGCAAGTGGTGCTATTCGGTTCCTCGGGCAACTCTTATCTATAAAATAGACATCAAAGAAATAAATATAACATTTAGTATATTGTATAGTAGTATACAGTGAAATACATTAAGAGCTAGAGTCATAATTTTGTATCCCTTCTGTTTCCCTGACAAACTTACCCCTTGCTTCTCAGAATATGCTTTTGAGAGTAAGGAGCAAGACAGAGGACTGGGATTTATTTTGCTCAGTGTAGATTACTGTGCTTGTGCTGTACCTCACTTAGGCACATGAACCAATCACAGCCTTGCCACAATGGGGCCAGTGGCATAAAGACAAACTCTAAAGCTTAATTCAGTAGCAGGGGAGAAAGAAAGGGAGGAATGGCTATTTTCTGTCCATTTCATGTAACCAAAATATTTTCCTATGCTCTTTAATTCCTTTTGAAGCTCGTTGTAAATTGCCTCCAGCATGCATCATTGAGCAGTAATATAATCCTCTTTAGTAAAACAAACACAAACTGCAGATAATTCGACTGAACCTAAAAACACCTTTCCTGATCAAAGCAGGATGGATATTAGCCTCAGCAGATATGATAACCACCCTTATAAATTGTACGATAATATATATAACTTCTATGTGATGGAGCAACAAGTACAACACTCGGCACTTCCCTACCGATTGTAAGAAACGTCCCCACTTGCATCCATTACCCCTTTTGCTGCTGTGCTGTCTTGGAGATGCCACTTTGTTTCTTCTCCTACACTAATTTTTTCTAGGGACCAGTGCTACAAAAGGAAATGTATTTAAAGGTGATTAGAAAAGATTTTTTTTTTTCATACTTGGATTTTTAATTCAGCCACTTGCATTTGTTCTACAACAGCAGCTAACATGGTAGCATCTTGGAGAAACACCGAGATATGCATTATGGGGAAACAGTAGACCAAATATTTTGTAGCTCTTCTTTCATCTAATAAATACACTTGCAATTATATCAACCTATATTGCTTTGCAGTGATAATAGTCTTGCTGACTGTCAGAGCTGATTTAAGGGAGAAGCAACAAAGACCCAGCACCTTAGGCTAAGTAAGGGAAGGAAAGGGGCTGCTGAGACCAAAAGCCACTTTTCTGTAGAAAAGCAACTGCTATTCAATTGGAAGTATTTTCCAGGTTACTGTTAATGCCTTTCTAGGCAATTTGGGGAGATCCTATATGAGACACTGTGTACAATTTTAGTTCTCCATGATCAGGAAAAATGTACTGAAATAAAAGAGAAATAGATGCAGAAGAGGTCACAGGATGAAGAGAGCAATGGTAAGAAAGCCTAACCTACCTGGCTTGTTTCAGTCAAGCGAAATGAGAGCTGAGCAGAGGCATGTAGCAGTTGCACAATAATAAATAAATATAAACTCTCTCTGAATGAATTTGAGGTTGAAACTGAAATAAGTGTCCTGTCAAAGCAATGAAGTTCTAGAACCAAATCTTATTATGGAAAACATGGGCAAAAATTGTAACTTGTATTACAGCAAATTTGATCAGTTTATGCATGAGATCATGTGATGTGATTGCCTCTCTTTCCACAGATCGTTCAAATCTTATTAACAGTGTGACACAGTGGAAGAATTCATTTCAGAACGTGACCACTGGAGATAAAGGATCCATTTTCCTTAGTGGTCAGCTGCATTCAATGCAATGACAAATTGAACTGTCACTTCATCCTCT